CCCGCGCCCGCGGGGGGTATTATCGCCTTCGCCCGGGAAGAGGGTGGCTGCGGCTGCAGTTGTTATTATTATGTATTGCCATCGCCGCCACCCGCGGAGGCCGAGCGCAGGTTCGGGGGGAGGAGGGGCGAGATCGGGCGGGGGACCAGTAGCCTGGCAACGCGCGAGGGGCGCGCGCCTGCAATTTCCTCTGCGCTTTAATTAAAGGCGCGGCGCGGGCGCTTATCGGCCCATCAGACTTTAATAAAGTTTCCCCCGTTAAAGATCGCCGTTTCTATGGAGAAAGGCAGCCGCGGCCGCCGCGTTTTCCGCCTCCTTAACTCTTTGCAAACAGGCAGCGCCTGCCTGGCCTGGCCTGGCCCGGTCCGCTCCGGCGGCGCTTCTGCTCCAGCGCCTCTGAGCCAACAAGCGCACGAGTCTCGGCGGAGGGCCGGGGCCCCAGCGCCTCCACCCGGGCCAAGAGAAGAGCTCCCCCATGGGCGTGTGTGGAGGCGGTGGCGGGGGGGAAAACCTGGCCCGAGACTCGGGCAGCACCACCGCCCGGCTCGGTCAATCGAGCATCGCGGCCTGTTTCCAACAGCGGCTGAGTGAGCCTCCCTGAGCCCAGCCAGAGGAGGGTCGCAGCCCGTCCGGGTTTTGTCCTCCGCATCGCGGTTCCCAAGACAGGCTGCTTTGGGGGAGCCGCGAAGTGCTTCTTTTGATGTCGCCCCTCTTCCCAAAAAGACATCCAAGATTTATGTCAGCCCTCTGATATTGCCTATTATTCGATGGTTATTGTTTTCTCTGACAGTTCAGAGGGAAATTTATTTTTTCTTGGCAACAACCTGATGAGGTTGATGGGACCGGGCGGTGTTGAGTGTCTCCAAATGAGCCAGAGGGGGGGCTTATGAGCGGAATCTCCCTTGCCTGCCTCGTCCACCCCCTGTTGGTAGGAATCGTAATCCAACCTATCTGCAAGGCACCAGGTTGGAGGAAAGTGGCTGGACTTTTTCATTCAGTGACTCTTTCCTGTCTTCTGTACAGACAGAAATCCCTCTCCAAATTCATGTGGGTCAATAGTGGCAGAATTGTCATTCAAAGCCTAGTGAAAAATGCTGATAATAGAGCAACTCAACAGAGTAGAGCCTGTTTAGTGAAGCACAAACCAATGAGGGGATCACGAATAGCTTACAGACCCGGCTTGCCTGCCTGATGCCCTCCAGACCTGTTAGATTCCAGTTTCTATCAGTCCCAGTAGGTTACTACACCTGAAGGAGTCTGGAGTACACTGTTAAATTCAATCAGTACAATATGCACAGCCTGTAATACAATGTGTTTATCTTGCTTCACTTTGCAGAGAAATCTCACAGACCTCTTGGAGTTCTTGCATTGAGCTCTCTTAGATTTCAGGCCCTTTGGCTTCACAGTTGACATCTGTCTTCATACCCCTGTGTTCATTCATCGGCTTCTATCTAAAACCTAACGGAGGATAATTGTAGAATCATAGAGGTGGAAGGGAACTATTTAGGCCACCCAGTCCCAGCCCCTGCCTGCTCTGTGCAGGGATCCAAATCAAAGTATCCCAAACAGATGGCTGTCTAGCCTCCACTATGCATCTCATGAGGTTGCATGCATAGGTGTACACATGCCTGGGTCATTCCCATTCTGTAGTTGTGGAGGGATGCTGAGGGTCTTTCCCCCTGCTGCGTTGACTTGGCAGAAAACTATGCCACCAGGAAATCCTCCCCCCCCCCATCTCTCTCCTGCTTCTATTCCCAGACATACAGTCACCTGACTTCCCTCCAAGGCAATGGATGATAGAATCTAACACCTTGAGGCTGCCCTTAGAAGGTGTCAGAAGTAGAGAGAAGGGAAGAATGCTACTTTAACAGCTGTACAGCTCAAGATGACATAAAGCTGTCTCGTTCAGGGGCTGAAGACAAGGTAAAGGTAATGTCATGCAGATCCAGCAGAAAAATAATGATGCTAGGGCACGTTTTTGCCATGGTGAAATTCAAGCTAAGAAAGACTCTCAACGTGCAGATTATCTTTTAATATTACTTCATTCCATTTCCCAGAAATCAAGCTTTGGGGAAATCTTTCCTTGATTTAAGGCTACTCCACTGAAGAAGCTGTGTAGCATAGCATTGTTCCTGACTCATTGTACTGGGTTACTGTGAGCACCAGATGATGTTCTACTGTAGGAGGATAGCATCAGGTTGATTTGCACCATACTTTTTGAAAACATCTTAAAGAAAAAGAAGCTTTTTGAAATGCAAGGCTTTTTGAAAAAACTAACCCTGTGATTTCTGTTAGGTACCTCCCAAACCTATCATAAACTGCACATTTTGCCAATGATGCAATAGCACTGTCTATAGCCAAACCCTGACTCCAGAGGCCTCACCTAATCTCTGTGTTAGAACACAGACACAGAGATTGGATTTAAAAATAAATATTTATTTACAAATATTTTATCAAAACTTCATCCTAACCCACCCAACCCCCTTACCTGCTTGGGTCATCCCATCTTGTTCACCAGGCTTTTATTATTTTTAATTTGCATCTCTACGCCGCAGAGACATCTAGTGGCTTCTTGTGGGAAAAGTCAGGTGCATTTTGTGATCAAGAGAGAAGGTGGCAGCAGTAAAGAAGGCTGGGTTTCAGTGCAAAAAAAAAAGAAAAGATGGGGTGGCATTTTAGGGATGGCCAAAAAGTTCCATGCTTTTTGTTTATCACTTTGCCCACATGGATTGTTGTTATGACCCCTGGTAAATAAGATGACTGCATGATTTACAAGAATGATGGCTGTACTTCCTTTACTGGTAATTTCATATATAAGCAAGGAATTCAGACCAAAACTGACAGTAATATGGACCATTTGTTTGGCTGGTGCTCACATTCTCGCAAATGCTGAAACAGAGACTGGCGATAAGAGGCCTCAGTGCCTGTTTTGAAAGATTTTCAAGGGACATTCTTCCCTTTCATTAATTAAGATTAATGCACTTATAAACAGAAAATGTGTAGGAGGCCATTTATTTATTTATTTATTTATATTTATTTGTTTGTTTGTTTATCATAATTATATGGCCACCATTTCTCACATGGTGTGACTCTGGGCAGCATACAAACAATCCATAAAAAACCATTTTAAAAACATTCAGGAAGTACAAAAATTAACATTATAATGAAAAAGCTGAGAGAGAGCATTGGATTATGAATAATGGGGCCACCTCATCAGATAACCATTGCCCTGCGACTCTCAGGCCTGTTGACACAACCAGATTTTAAGGGACTTCCAGAAGGTTTGCAGAGATGGGGCCAATGTCACCTCAGGGGTTATGATGTTCCACAGGGCAGGTGCCACAGCAGAAAAAGGCCCTGTGGAAAAAGGGTCTGGCCAGATGTAACTCCTTAGCAGATGGGACCCACAACAGACCTCTTCTGTCAGACCTGATGGGATGGGCAGATGTAATCAGGAGGAGGTGGTCCCTCAAATAACCTAGCTTTGTGCCATGAAGGGCTTTAAAGGTCAAAAACAGCACCTTGAATTGGAGTTGGAAGCAAACTGGCAACCAATGCAGCTCTTGGAACAGAGATGTAACATGTCCTACTCTAGGGGCACATATAACTGTCCATGCCACCACATTCTGTACCAGCTGAAGTATCTTGATACTCTTCAAGGGCAGCCCCATGTAGAGCGCATTACAATAGTCCACCTGGGAGATGACCAAGGCATGAGTGACTGTGAGCAGAGCCTCCCGGCCCAGGAACAGGTGCAACTGGCACACAACATGAAGCTGTGCAAAGGTCCTCCTAGCCACAACTGCCACCTGCTCTTTGAGCAGGAGTCATGAGTCTAAGAGGATCCCCAAGTTGCACACTAGATCTGTTTGGGGCAGTGCAATTCCTTCCAGTACCAAAGATGGCATAGTGTCAGAACTGGCAGGTTCAAAAACCCAGAGTCACTCAGTCTCACCAGGGTTCAGTTGAAGCCTGTTGCTCCCCATCGAGGCCCCCACCATCTCCAGGCACCGGAATACGACATCAGCAGCATTGCTTAATTTGCCAGCGGCAAAGATGTATAATTGGGTAACATCAGTGTACTGATGATACCTCACTTCATGGTGGCAGATGAGCTCATCAGTGGCTTCACGTAGATGTTAAAGAGGAGTGGAGAGAGCATCAAACCCTGTTCTTGTTCAGTCGTTAAGTCATGTCCGACTCTTTGTGACCCCATGAACCATATCACGCCAGGCCTTCCTGTCCTTCACTGCCTCCCTGCGTTTGCTCAGTTTCATGCTCATTCAGAGGCCAAGGTTGGGATCTCTCCTCCCCAATCACCACTGACTGCTATTGGCCCCAGAGAAAGGAGAAGAACCAGCATAATACACTGCCACTCACCTCCCATCCCCAGAGCAGGTCCAGAAGGATACCATGGTAGACTGCTGAGAGGTCAAGCAGAGCTAGGATGGATGTACAACCCCCATCCCACTCCTGCCAGAGATCATCTAAAAGCATGACCAATGTTGGCCATTTCTGTCCCATACCCAGGCCTGAATCCTGACTGAAAGGGGTCCAGATAATCCACTTTATCCAGGATCCTCTGAAGCTGTTGTGCAACCACCTCCTCCACCACCTAACCTAAAAAGGGAAGGTTAGATACTGGAAAAATTGTCCAGTATAATGGGGTCCAGTAATGGTTTCTTGAAGAGGGGGTGAACCAAGGCCTTCTTGAGAAGCAAAGGAACAACCCCCCTCACCCAAGGAAGAGTTCATCACCACTAGAACCCACTCACACAACACACTCCCCCCCCCAGCAGCTTTAATTAGCCAGGAGGGGCATGAATCTAAATAGCAGGTGACCAAGCTCACAGTCATGAGGACCCTGTCCACTTCCTTAGGCCCAACAGGTTCAAACCGTTCCCAGATAACAGGGCAAGACTCTGCCCTGGGACCTGCAACAAGGCCAGCGTCCAGCTGCAAATGAATTTGAACGACTTTGTCCAATAGATGCTGAGCGAATTCTTCCACACAACCCCGCAGGGATGATCTCGAAGCTCCGTCTACCCAAGAGGGTATGGGTTACCCAAAGCAGGGCTGTGGGATGGCTATCTGCGGGTGCAATAAGGGAGGAGAAGTATTGCCACTTCACTGCCATGAGGTAAGCTGTAATAGTGGCTCTGACCTGTGTTTGGTTGAGTTCATCCTGTGTTGAACACCATCGACATTCTAGATGTCTCTTCTCCCATTTTTCATCTCCCTCAACTCTTTGGTAAGCCATGGAGAATGACGGGATCCATGAGAGGGGAGAGGTAACATAGGCGTGATCTGATCCAAAGCTTTAGCGGCCCTCTTGTTCCAAGTGGCACCTGAGGCCTCAGATGGAGCATGCAGCAGACCAACAGGAACAACCCTCAGCTCCCTCTGAAACCCATCAGGGTGGACCAATCTAATAGGTCCAGCCTCCCTGCAGTGGTCATAGTGGTACCGGAGAACCTTGTGGTAATCAGGGCATGATCTGACCATGACAAGGCACACACCAGAAGTTTCCCCAATTCAAGATCACATTGTCACTGCTCCAACAGGAAAACCAGATCAGGTGTGTGACCACTGTCTCATGTTGGGCTCTAGATACCTGGGATAGGCTCATGGCTGTCATGGTAGCCATGAACTCCTGAGCTGCCTCTGATCCCACTCCCAGAGAAGGCAGATTAACATCCCCCAGAACCATAAGTCTGGAGAACTCCACTGCCAGCCCAGTGATGGAGTCAAGCAGCTCAGGCAGGGAGGTTGCTATGCAGCAGGGAGGCTGGCACAGCAGCAACAGTCCTGACTGATCCCTGGAGCCCAGCTTAATGAACAGGGTCTCACATCCGGCAACCTGTGGAGCAGCATCCTTGAAAGCCTTATGAGACTCCTGGATGACAATCACCACACCTCCAGCCTTACCCTGGAGTCTTGGCTGAAGCCACACCTAAAACTCCCCAGGGCATATTTCCAAAAGGGCTACCTCCCCTTCCAGACCCAGCCAGGTCTCAGTAATATGTGCTAGGTCATCCCTCTCATCTGTGATTAAATCACAAATGAGGGAGGCCTTATTACAGACCAACCTGGCATTTAGTAGCAGCAGCCGAAAGCCAGGGCCTCTGAAGATCTGCTGACTGGGTGCAAGGGTTCAGTTGAGGAGCTGGAACATGGAACTGGTACGAGACACTGGGCCCACGTTCCTGGAGAACAGCCCGCTCCCCCATTCCTTCCTTATGGCCCTCCCTCTTAAAAATAGTGAGAAAGAACAAAGCAAGACTGGAGACTGGGTTTCCTGGACAAAGGTGTTTCTAAGGTAAATAAATAGGCAGTACCTTTCTTGTAAATACAGACGGTCTGTGAGCTTTACTAGAAAAATAAACATTTGGGTGTGTAGGGGGTTAAGTGTTCACATCTTTACATTTATCAATAACTAAGTTGGTTTTCATATCATTAGTGCTGTTGCTGTATCACTCACCCCTTTGGCACGTTGCCTTTTGTATTTTCTTAAATATCAAGATTAGGACTGATGGGGGATGTTTGGATGAGAAGTTCTCTGCTTCCTGCACTTTTCCTTTTGTAACCATCATACAAAACCAAACAGGCTATTTCCTTTCACCCTTGAAAGAGAGACTTCTTGGAGTTGCCTGAAGCAGCACCTACTAGTTCTAAGAACTGAGCCCACAAAAGCTGGAGGAAATGGGATATCTCCTGAAGTTCATTTTGAAAACTGAGAGCATTTACTGAAGAAATATCAAAATGTTTTTGTGGTGTGATTCCTTGGGCCCAGCGTATTGCAAAGCCAGAAGAGTATACCCTGGAAATTCTGGTCTATCCCAGGGCTTGGAGGCATCTTCTCCAACCAAAAGCTCCTGATATTTAACGAATGGAAGATTCGTTTCTGCCGGTTCACCTTTCATGCCCCAGACTTGCTTTAGCTGCCTGAGTCATATTAGCCAGCCGCAGGCAACTGAAAACAAGCCCAGCACAAGTAGGTATATGGTACAGAGCAGTAACGATCAGACTGGATTCTTGCTCCCCAAAGCTTCATGTGTGGTCTCTGGAGAAATGTTTAGCAAACCTGTCCTGAGCAAGCAATGGGAATATGGTGTGCTCTCAAACCTCTTCTCTACCTGGGTGAACAACTTGATTTGCAGAACACCCAGTCAATGCATCAAGATCCACCTGAACCCCAGGAAGTCCCAGCTGCTCTCTAACAGAGGTGCAGAACTCTAGGTCCAGCCAGCTGATACAAGGAATGCTGGGAGTAACATCTGGAATGTCACAGATCCCCCTTCTCTGAATTTAGTTCTAAGGCAGATACTCTGAAGGGAACCTCAAAATTGCTAAAGAATCAGCTGATTTCTGCACCCTCTGTTTGTCCTCTGCCCATATACAGGATATGGAGGGGTGATTCAGAGATTTGGAACAAATCATTTTCATTGACTTTAGTAGGCAGGATGGGCAAAAATGAAGTTAAGAATAAATATTTACCACCACCTTCTTAAAATTGTGGAGCCTTATATACAAAACATTGTCTATATCAAGATAAATTTTGAAGTCTCCAAAGCCAAATCAAATGTATATGATTTGTTTATTTTTAAGAATTGGATTCTGCTTCTGCTGGTTGTATGGAGAATTAAGGAGTCTCTTTAACACAGAAAATCCTGCTGGTGCTCCATCTCACTTCTGATATTCTCTGTCTAAAACCAAATACTGGGTATCCATGGCAAGAGCCTGGAAGTGAAACTAAAAATTATAGAAAGAGCCCTGGGAGATGTAAGAGATTTGTAGTCAAAGAAAACACTTCTAAAATCTTAACATGTGGGGATTACTTCATTTTGCCCTAAAGACTCACTCAACTGTAGATTAGGACTGCAGCTGGGAGTAATAAGGAGATTTGGGGATTGGGTGGGAGGGAAGGTGAAATAAATTCCAGCTTCCAGAAATGAGGCACTGGG